CGATTTTCCAACTTAAGGGCGTAAACCTGAGAAGGGTTGTAGGCGTACTGCTGTAAGTCCTACAATTCTTCAAGGGTAGTACGTCGAAGAGCAGTCCATCGTACTTGGTGTACATATGTTCATGTTGTATATAATGAATTGGTATCATCCCTCTTCTATCTGTTGATTAATTTTGTTTGTATCCGGACGTCTTCCACTTGGATCGTCAACCTGAGAAGAAATGTAGGCGTACTGCTGTAAGTCCTACAGTTCTTCAAGGGTAGCTCGTCAAGGCAGAATCCACAACATTTGATATATTGATTGTACATATGCTTGTGTTGAGTAATTCAGTGGGTTCCGATTCATCTGATTGTCGGTTAATTTTATAGTTGTCGCATTGTGTGAATCATCTTGTAATGTTTTTGTAAGTACTTCTGAATTCGCTTCTAAACTTGTGAACGAATCGAGTAGAGTTAGAGTCAGCGTACGCGATTGGATACGCCGGGGAGAGGATTGGGCTAGAGTGGAATGAAGCAATCGATACTTTGTGAACGAGATCAGTGGTGGTATTGTCGTCAGACAGCGTAGACCCCATGCGCCGGGGAGAGCGTGTCGGTGTGATGTGGTATGTTTGCTGTGTGTTGGGCTTTTTTGTCTTGCTTTTCCAATTTTAGCCTAGTCCCGATTGGCCCAGGTTCCCGCATTGGCAGTTCAGTTCAAGGTTACCGCCGTTGTGGAAAAAAGGGATGGACCCTTTTTTGCCGGGGAGTGTCAATGGAAGTGAACATTGAACGTTTGTTTTATTGGAACTGGCAACCATTGGCGGCCAATTGAAGGCGCGAATGGAACGATCGCTTGCAAGTTGAAGGAAGACTGGATTTCAATACGAATAAAAGTACTTTATAACTTTATTTGTACTTAACATTTGTTTGCAGACTTTGTAGTTTTCTTCAATTTAATTGCCAAACAATATAATTTCGTTCGAGGAATATTGGTGTTTTGGATTTAAAGTTGAAGAAATACATAGTGTTTATCGGTTCAATCGCTTAAGTCTTCGTTACAATAGGAACTTAGGGCTAAGTTCCTTGACAACTACTCTTAGCATTGTCGCAATGAATGTTCTTCTCAAAGACGCTGAAATTCTGATCTTGAGGATGGCGCAAGCTTAGTCACCCTTGAAATCCAAATTCATGCAAAGTGTCTGTTTTTAAACACGTGATGTTTCGTTCCCCTGGACCGTTTGGTCTGATATTCTTGTCGATGAATCTCGGTGGATATCCATTTGGGATGAAGGTTTTTTTCAGAAGATGCAGTTCTGCTTCCAGGGTGTCAGGACTGTGGATGCGTCGGATCCGAGTAGCAGGGAATTAAATTAGATTTTGTTTTCGTTCAACGTGCACCCATTTGTGGAGATTTGTTAGCTCACCGTCGAGTCGTCTTGATGGTTCCTCATCAAGAAAGGGAATGCTGAACTCATTTTCCATTTTTAGGGTGAATTTTCGCTGTATGGCAGTTTTAAAATACTTGAAGCAATTGACTGGGTTCGTAACTGTTGTCACAAATGATGAAAATGTCATCTTCACACTGGTTATACAGTCGTAGATCGTCAACAGACGACTCGACTGGGCTATTCTCAGTACTAGCCACAAGATCAGACAGGAACTTTAGTTTACACATACCCTACCATATTTAGGCAAATAAACATTTCATACTAACTTCATTTATTCCTCTATTTCCGACTATTTTCATTTTTTGGTGAATTTTAGGGTGTCAACTTAAAAATATTTGGAATAAAATAAGAACTGGAGAAAGTGGCGCCTAGTTTGTTTTCTCTTTGGTGTTTATATTCTCACTAAAATATGTAACGCATAATACCAAACTCCTGTTGTCGTCTGACGCCGTAAAATTTGCAATCACTAATGCATAAAATGAGACAGAAATAGAGAGAGAGCGCATTCATTTAGTATACCATATTATCATTATTATTATTTTTCGATATTTACCAGACAACGTCAGCTTTCGTTTGTCATTGATTCCTGAATCAACGGCTTAGTAGACAAGCAGATTGTATCATAGAGAGTTCATTTTTCCCAGTGCTGTTCAAAAGCAATCCATGAAGGGAAAACAAAATAATTCCCCTGCATTAAAACTGGTTGTTAGTCTCCATTTTAGAAAAAATACAAAACAATGGAAAACCTTCTTTCACTCATTATTAAACCCTCACTGAAACTTCTCAGTGACTCCATACGTTTTGTGTATAAATTCAGTGTGGAAGCACTGGGTAAAGCTGTAAAGTTTACTCTAGACTATCCTATCACTTTTCACTCTTGACTTCTAGGAGTGTTTTGCTAATCAATCTGACTTCATAATTCAATGTGTCCTGGATCATACACAAAATGGTTGTCTTCCTTCACTCTTTTTTTCGAGCAGGAAACAACATCCTGTTTTCGATGGGAAGTGCTTCACTTTTCCGTTTGCTGAGGTTATAGTATGCTTGAAGGTGCTGCACTTCCTACATTTTTCTTTCTTGTTTCTTACCTGCAAGACTGTCTATATTCTTCGAAATGTAATTCCTTGGGAAGCAGAATTACACGTCGGTGAGCTACCTTTTCTAGACTGCATGTCTAATTAAGAGGAGGGAAAACGAACAGTTTAGTATATATATATATATTCAGGAAGAAAAACCCACTCCTTTAAATATTTAAACCTTGGATCATCACACCCCATCAGCGCAAAAGTATCACTTGTTAACGAATGAGAAATAAGAAGAATAAAAAAGAAATATCAAACATTACTGAAACTCTCCAACAACTACCCAACGAACTTCATCAACAAAATCAACACTGACAATAAAAATATAGTTGAAAACACGTATTCCGAAAGCATGGACCTCAACAGTTGTCATTCCATATAGAGAAGAGTCGTCAGACAATATCACAAGAGTACTCAATAAGCTCGACATCAGAGTTTTCTCCAAAACATCAGACACACTATGAAACAGTTTTGTCCATATGAAAGACCAAATCCCTACATATTCTCTATCTAAATGTATTTATAAAATAAAATGCTCGGAATGTGATGGGATATACATCGGACAAACATCTCGAGAAGTCGAAATCCGAAGAAGTGAACACCGTAGACCATCTGTTCGACCACCGACAAATCGAGTTAGTGAACTAGAAAAGCTTGAAAAATCATAAGCTATAGTTTGTTGTCTTAAGGCGACGCTATAGAATGAAGCCACAAAATTGATTTTGACAATATTGAAATAATCCAGAAAAAGCATTTCAGAAATCCCAAAGGATGTCTCACATCATCAGAAGCACTTCATATCAAGTGGAATCCACATTGTCTGAATTGAATATGAATGATGAACCAAAACACAATTTGACCTGGTTACAACACCCCACCCCTCCCCTATGAAATGACAAGATCAACACGAATGTGATAAACAATTTCATTATGTAAACTTACACTGCTTTTATAATTTTATACATTTATCAAATCCAACAATGTACACTTGGGTTTGTTATCTCTACCAACTGGCCAATTTGACAACGAAAAATGACCCCATGCTGAGGAACGATGATTAAGTTTGCTTTATATAAGGTGAGTGGATTTGGCAAATTCCGGTTTAATAATACTTTGATAAAGCTACTAGCGGCAGCATTAAATAGCAAAACGTCAGTAAAAACAACAATATCGTTTTGTTTTTCATTCATTGGGAAATACGAGAAAACCTTTATTATAATGAGAAATTCCTAATGATTTCTATTTTTCAGTTGTTTCTATATTAGATTGCTGTGATATGAGTAGCTTCTTGTCTGAGGTTAAACAGTGAGTGGTTTTATTCATAACTTGGTCTTGAAATGAAGCCGTCCAAATATATGAGACTGGTCATTTCACTTTCAGATGTGGACAAGACTTTAGTAGACTGATTCATTCCTATGTGTTTTGTAATATCACCAGCGCGTGTGGCAGGTAATAAACTGAGCTATCTTACCTGTCTTAGTATCATTTCTTCTGAATATCTGTGTTGCTTCCCAAAAACAACTGAAGATACAAACTAGTAGCGAAGACAGAACTGACTCCAGGTGAACATAGAGAAGGTGGAGACGGAAGTGTTGGGGATAACTAACCAACCAACCAAACAACATAAAAAACAACCAGCACCAATTTATATCGACGGGCGAAATTTGGAGGAGGTTACTTCCTGCCTGGTTTCAACCACAGGCGGGCAAGCATAAAGGCAGGTGGACAGCACTGATGAAGATGTCAATGGCAGTGGGGCAGCCAGAATCGGAAGAGCACGATACGCCTTTATCAGCCTGAAACCGGTTTGGATATATTCTGCTTCACTCACTTAGCATAAAGAACATGATTCGGATTCTGTTCAACGCAAATATCAATTAAGTTAGTCAGACATTTCTTCTAAATGCGTCGGAAAATTGCACAGCGTGTGAGTCAGTCACGGAAAGCATTTGCAACGGTTTGGTGCAGACTTTTTTCAACAGCTGCCCACTTCGCTAGCTGGTTGGCTGGCTCCATAGTCAAGATCGAATGGACAGTTGACAGGCTAGCCGGCCAGAAAGAATTAGCAAGAAGAAGTTCTAGCGATGAACAAACCAACAAAGCAAGAGCCAATTGCTCAAAAATTATGTAGGAGAAAATGGAGATGGGTTGATCATCCATACGCAATTGAGGAGGCTGTCAGTCGAATGACATTGTGCGCAATGCAGGTCATCGATCGAGTGAAATCCCAGTGGTAAGCGATAAGTGGGTTGTAATTGTGAGGGTGACATGGAGGAGATCGTTTTGAGAGGAGGAGATTATGGGGAATAATTGTGGGGTCAGCTCGCTGAAGAAGACAGAAAAAAATAGATGTGCAGTTGAAGCCCTATGCTCCACCCGGAAGCCAAGGGAACAATAATGCAACAACAATCATTCATAAACTTTTATTTTAACTTGTAACTAAAACATTTTTTTTATGAAAAGTGAAGTTTCAAGGTTAGATTACATTAGTACATAAAAACATAATTTTAACAGATTGAATAAAAATCTCCAAGTTTAAGTGAAACAGCCTCTGCTAAATCAAAATAGGGAAAATTTTCACACAATGCGAATTTTCGTATTTACCAAAAAATCAAATAAACAGAAGTTCACATTTCAACAGAAAAGGATTATTTTGTAATGAATCAATTTGCCGCGCAATTTTCAACGTTCACTTAAACAAACAAAAATGACCTTGAAAATAACTAGCAATTGCTTGGTTCAAATTTTTACGGTACAGACGATACTCCAGCTTCAGCGTGTATATATATGTGTATATGCGAAATTGAATTCGCTATTTATTCAGACATCAAAATAAGCCGAAATCTCTCTGTCTGTCTCGAAAAAGAAAAGAAAAAAAATCCCTCAGAGTGTTTAAATCATCGTTTTAGAATTTTCAAAAGTCATTAACTGTGTAAGTATAATCCAGATAATTGAAGCGACAAAAAATACAAACGATGATATCCAACTAACTAATACTGGCCAAAGTGGATGAACACTGATTATCTCTGGAATGTATAACTGCAAAGAGAAAACAAAACAAAAAGGAGGCAATTTTAAATTTTTAAAAATAGAAATAAATAATTGGCTTTAGACAAAGCAAGAAGAAGAAGACATAATTTGTCTGAATCGTGTATTGGGTATTTGCTCAACACATTTCGAACAGTCTGATCATACACACGGACTTGTCATAGGAATGTGTGTATATGAAATTAATAAAGAGTTAAGAGGTGAGAAATAGAAATGGGCAAATTAGGTCAAGTTAAAAAGACATATTGAAGGTGAAAATAACAATGAAGATCAGTCACTAAACTGAATAACAGAGGCAACAGTACATCTCTATTAACTGGTATCAAAACAAAACAAAGTTTACCAAGGACGGTTTAATGTGATGACGAATTATTGCTTTAAACTTTCTAATTGCCAGCTAGGGCTTCCTTGCACAAACTTGAGGATACGCCCTCCCCTAAACACGTTTTATAGGTAGGTTTAAAATATCTGTTAACGTCAATTTTATGTCCTGCCTCTCTAATATGTTTTGCAATAGAGGAGCTAGGTCTTCTGCTCTCACCATTAATGGGTTCTGAAGATTCCATTTGCTTCTGAAGCCATTTAGGAATATGCTGTGAAGCCAGCCCTTACTTGCAGAGAGCATCGATGAGTCCTCCCTATGTATGTGTGTACACACGTACATTCAAATTGGTAAATACAACAGTGGGATGTGGCATCATTTTATGCATGTTCGAAGGGCTTAGATGGATGGATGGATATATTGGCTTCACATTCTCAATTATTATGATATTAGCTGCATAAAAGGTCTTTTTAACCACAGCAGAGTTCAATCTTTATCTGGTTAACAAGCTTGATGTACACATCTTTCTTAGGGGCGAGTTGTAGAGTGGGTCTTGGTGTTCTGACTACTTTATATCTCCCGATGAATATGTCTGGATAGTTGTTATCAACTAGAGTTTGTGTCAACTTTCTTTCTTCTTCATCAAGTGTGTCTTCACTGCATATTCGTTAGATTCTACTGAAGATTGTGAAAATGTCTTGTATGAATTAAAAGATCTGATACTAAACAGGCAAAATTAGTTGCACCAATCTACACCTCTTCACTGGCAGAATTCAGTCTGCATCAGCACCAAAGACTTAAGGGCATGACGGTGTCTAAACCAAGTATCTAATACAGTCGTACTCCCTAAAAACTCACTGGTAACATCCTGGATTGCATCAACAGGTGACACAGGTTCGAATCTCAAAAGGGAGACAAGTTCCTTTTAAGAATGCAGATATGCCTATCTGATGAGTGTCGACGGACATGAAATATAGGTTTCATGCTTCCTGTTGATTGCCTCATCAATTCAGAGTGTACCATGACGGCAAGCTCCAGCGAATATGAAGGTCATGCACTGCAAATTTGACTGACAGAATTCAGTCTGCTTCAAAAGAGGGCCTATATACATGGCACCAGCTACTACCTGGCGTCTACAGCAATCCATATCTCTTTCAAATGTCAATAATATATAGAACATTAGCTTAAGCATTCAGGCTTTAGTCTAGTTACCCTGGATTCGTGCTCCACTCCATCTGAGGTGACTTAGATAACTGGGTTGTGTCATTATTTTATTCCTTTACGTTCCCAGTGGAACATAGGGCTTCAAGCTAGAGGCTTGAAGCTTCTTTAGAAGTGTTTATTATTTTACGGGATGAGGTTGTCAGCCTCATGCCCAACCTTTCCCCTTTACCAGCTTTATTTCTGGCTTAGCGAGGTAAAGGAGTGCATCGGCCGGAGATCGAACCCCGGCCCACGTGCATGGTCGGCGAGCATCCTAACCGCTATGCCACCGACGCACTTTAGTTGGCATTAGTTGCCACAAAATAGACGTAGCTGTTAGTCTGCTACATGAAAGATCTGTTCTGGGAAATTAACTAAAACCCTTTTTTTAACTTTCTCCTTTGATTTGCCGTCACATCAGAGTTAATGAAGCATATTGTTTCAATCATGGGAATGCTTGTGAATAGATAGGTGACTCCTAGTGAGAGTGCTTGTCTTTCAACACACGTTGATATCTTTCCCTGAGTCGATGAAATCAAATGTATCTCTCAGGCTATAGTTTGTCAAGTGTCTTCTTACTGATTCAAGGATATTTCACCTAGCTAGACACTTCACGATCTGATGTCATCGTGAGTTAACCATGTCTATGATAGGTCTAAGTGGAACATTCTCCTTATGCACTTTAGACAGTCCATACAGTCTTGAAATAGTTTGAACTGCATGGTTTTATTCGCTCATATACCTCTGATTTTGATGACTGAATCTTTTTTCATTCTCTTCAGCAATTTTGTTGTGTCTTTCTCGTTGGATGATTTGAAGAATTTGATTTTGTCTGGTAGATAGTATGTTTGTCAATTTCTCATTATAGTCGGATCTAATCATTACCACAATCCCATTGCCCTTATCAGGATGGACGAGGATTATGTCTTTATTTTCTTGAAGTTGTTTAAGTTGTCTTCTGTGTTCCCTGGTCAGTGCATAATGGTGGCTTGGTCACAGATAGCTGAAGTGGACATGTCAACATAAAAGGTATCACCATCAATCAATCAGTCAATCAATCTACCCGAGACGTATCTCTTCTTACACTTTGTGACACCAACACCTCACTGCTTGTGAATTTACTCCACCACTTCATACCACTGTCAGTCGCTCTCAAACAGTAGATAAATCAACTCAATCGATCAAATCCCTACACGACAACAATACAAAAATTAATTTGTTAACAATTGTTACCGTTCTTGGTATTTGTGATATTGGATAACATGGTCCCCATTCATATTCCAGACGATTCAACTTTGTATGATGTATACAGTTAGCGAATATGATGAAAACGCCTATCAGAATAAAAAAGAAAAGAAACAAAAGAAAATAACGAATTTGAATAAGGCATTTAGAAGACAGTGCGTCGGTGGCATAGCGGTTAGGACGCTCGCCGACCATGCACATGGTCCGGGGTTCGATCCCCGGCTGACGCACTCCTTTACCTCGCTATGCCAGAAATAACACTGGTAAAGAGGAAAGGTTGGGCATGAGGCTAGCAACCCCATCCTGTAAAAAAAATACAAAATGCTACAGAAACTTCAAGCCTCTAGCTTGAAGCCCTATGTTCCACTGAGAACGTGAAGGAATAAACAAAAATTTAGAAGACAAATTTCGCGAGATGATGCTATCGTCATTTCGCAGTTTTTCCTTTCAATCGCTTCGCAACTAACATGGTTGACAATAATAAAATAAAAGGCATGACAATTACTCAGTTATATAAAACAAAAGTACATACTGATGACCAATCATATTTTCAAATAGGTCAAGTAGTCCATGGTAGGCGAGAAGGTTGAAGTCTATTGTTTTTGTATACATAATTTAGGCTGTATGTGATTAATCCTCCGAAGTGGTTGCATCTCCTTCAATAACCAACGCTGAATTAGAGTTATGTGACGACCGATGAAAAATACTGAACTTTTACTAGAGATTAAAATGAGCAAATTTTCTGGAATAGAATATTCGAGAGTTTCGCGACACAACTAGCCGTCTACATTATCGTATATCTGAGGCGGGTGTGCGGTCATTCCGATTACATGTTTTTGCTTTGAATTCGACGAAAGAGGATTCGGTGGTTGATAAGCGGTGGGACTGATGTGACATATCAATCAAACAACCCCTAAAAGATAAACTCTGATGGCTTCAGAATCTGGTAGACCTACTTGGACAAAAATTGACATAATTTAACAAATACAGCATAGTGACAGTGAAGTCTGATTAGTAGATTGGTGTTAGTTAGTTAGTTAGGCTACCAGAACTTGAGGATTTGGTTAGATATAAAATGAAAGAATCAACAAGGTTAAATAATGTGGAAAAATATCCTCATTCACTTGTGTGGAACTACACAATAGATCGAGACAGGTTAATATATGTGTAAAACTTGGGCACTGTGGTAGTAAGTAATTCCATATTAGACAGGAAGTGAGACATATAAGAGAAGCTTTGAAACTTAATAATTACCCTGATAAATTAGTCAGGAAATATGTAGGGAAATGCAAAAATTAAATAAATAATAATGGTAGTGATAATAATTAATAATATTAATATTAATGACGACATGTATGTCAAACATGTGCAGGATAATGACAACACCAACAATAAGGAATCTAAATCAACAGTGGTAATTCCATACAAGGAAGGAACCTCAGAAATCACTTTACGGAGAATTCTTAACAAGGCAGGAATAAAAGTGGCTGGTATTCAAAACCACAAACTCAATTAGAAACAAGCTTTGTTGGTTAAAGGATCCTGTGGAGCTTTTAAAAAAAAACAATTTAGTTTATCTAATACCCTGCTGCTGCAATGGTCAAATACATGGTTCAAAGTAGTAGAACAAGGGTAGTCAGACTAGGCGAGTATAAAAACCCAGCAGCAAAATCTAGATTGGTTGACCAGAATAAGATAAAAAATCTGGAGAATAGTTCAGCCATGGCAAGCACTACATGTAATTACGCACAACCATACAATAGGATGGCCGGGATAAGATAACAGTTTTAAAATCTGATGTAACAGCGTGGTGGAGGGAGAGATTGATAACGAGAGCTTTGTTTATCGAATCAACTGCAAAGTCACATGTAATAGCAATGATTCAACACCTCTGCACCCAGATATCTGGAAAATTCTACTGCCCCAACGACGACAAATAGGAGAGAACAAAGAAAACTATAAAACTCAAGTTTCGAAGTCGTGTGATTATAATTGACGATATGCTTATGAAAAGTAATAAATTGTGTTCGAAACCTTGTCATACAGTAAATAATACTGTCTCGCTGTGTGATACATCTAATAAACAAACTAATATGGAAGATCGAGACAGAGTTAAAGTATTAACGAGTTGTAGGGTTTATTGGAATGAGGTGGGGGGAGGAAAATCACTGAGTCTTTATTCACTGAATTAACATCAGACACACAATGCAAAATTCATTTAGAACAAATTAAAAACTGCAATAATAAAAGGGGAAGGAGAAGTGCTATTCAAGGCAAGTTAGCGAGTGAAGAAAAGTCTGAGAACTTTATGTAGCTTAACCAAGGAAACCTGTACAGAGGAACATTTGAACTCTGGGAAGTTGATGTTCAACGAGACGTGTACAACCGTTCTGGTTGGGGAGAAATATGAGGCGAGGAAGGGAATAGCTTTCAACGGATACCTGGGAGCTAACAGAACAGAGGAGAATTGTGAAACAGAAGATGGATTACTCAATGCAGAGATGGGTAACTGAAAGAGAGGCTGAGTTCAATGAACATTGCACTGAATGAAGAGAGAAGTGCAGAAGAGTGCTAGAAAAGAATAAAGACTATTCTATGACACATTGACTGGCAAGTGAAGCAGAACAGGCTGGTGGTAGGTGAAAGAGATCTCAAAACGTCATACCAGATAACCAGGTATTTATTCAAGAAGAGATCAACACAGGAGGAACCTACGAAGTAAGATCAACAGAAACTATTTACCAAGGGGGAGAGACGAAACAAACAATGCTTTGATCACTTCAAACGACGTCATAACCAAATATCACCAGCAAGTCGTCCAGAAACACGTCAAACAGAACTCACAGAATTGCCTACAGTGGACACCAATCCTCCATCAAAAGCAGAAACCCTGGATGCGATCATGTCTCCGGAAGACCAGCCGGGAAGGCAGCAGGACTAGACGGAATTCCCACTGAAGCACTAAAAACGGACCCAGAGACTGCGACGTATATGATGACACCAAATGTTTTAACAAGTTTCGAAGGAAGAAACGGTGCCTGCTGATTGGAAGGAAGGCTACCAATGACGGTAAATCTAGAAATCTGCGAAGACTAGCGTTTAATCGTGCTCTTATCCACACCAAGTAAAATGTTATGCTGCAGAGAACGAAATACGCACTGGATGCAGAACTCTGAGGGCGTGCCGGAACAAGCCGGATTCAAGAAGGGAAAATTGTGAGCAGATCAACTTGCAACTCTACACATCATCATCGAACAGAACAAAGAATGCCAGTCAAAACTCTACCTCAAATTCATAGACTTCAGCACTACGACATGCAGTGCCAAAATCCCAACCAATCTCATTCATTAGCTGGTTTTATGACAGTGACTGACGCCGCTTGTCAGTCAGTTGATCCACAGCGGAGCCTAACTTTGAAGTGAATACAAGAGTAAGACAAGGCTGCCTGGCTGGCTGGCTGCCTATTATCACCTATGATGACATTCTTAATTGTGGTGGAGTGTGAGGAGCAAGAAGACAGAGGAATACGTTGGATCGATACGAAGGATTTAAAACATCTGGACTTCGTGGGCGATTTGTGGGTAATATCACAGGTAGTGAAAGACTAACTAGCGAATTGGAAGAAGTTGACAGAGAAGACAGGAATTCAAGTGAATGAAGATAAGATGGAGGTGATGAAGATAACAAACCAACCAACCAGCCGATAACAAAAACTAGCGCCAATCAGTATCAACGAAATAAATCTGAAAACGGTTATTTTCTTGTTTTCTCTAAGAAGCATCGTCCCAGAGATTGGTGGTCGGCACGGATGAGGATGCCAAAAGCAGCCAGGATCAGAAAGGTGAAACAGGCTTTCATCGCTCTCAGACCAGTTTTGGAATCTTGCGAAATAACTCAGCCTGCGTAAAGAACACGATTTGGATTCTATTCAACACAACACTTGTCCCAAAATGCATCTAAAACAGGCTACTGCAAACCCTTTTTCGGTAGCTTCTGCCTTTGCTTGCTCAATCTTGAAGATCAAATGGCATTAGACAATCAACAACAAGAAAATCCGAAGACGAACTGACCAAATATGCTAGAGAAAATTCAGATGGACCGGTGGATACTGATTGATGAGAGTGTCGAATGACATCTCAGGCATAGTCTTCTAGCGTAACGTGAATGGGAAGAGATGAGTAGGGTGTCTGATGGTAACTTGGAGGAGATCATGCGAGGAGGAGATTAAGGATTATTGGTAATCGTGGGGCCAGCTAAAGAGTACTGCAGAGGTCAGGATAAAATGGAGATGAGCTATTGAAACCTCACCTACGTTCCATTCGGAACTAAGGGGAACAATAATATAATAATACGGTATGTCATATTAAACCAAATATGTATATATCTAACATGGAAGTAAACAACATGGACGTTTAGGAAATCAATAGATTACCATTCATACAATCAAGTGGATCATCCATTGTGAACAGAACAATTTCGGTTCCCAAAGAAAGCTGGGGTTAAATTTCAATCTCAATTATGGGTAAAATTTGTCTTTATAAAGTCTCACACAGTGTGTTATACAGTAATATTTACTGATGACCCAGTTTCGAGCACAATTTATTGCGGCTTATAATCACATCATTTCTGCGGCTACCTGGGCAGCCTTTCCAGTTTCGTACATTGTACGAATATTCCACGTCCCCATCCTTATTTTTGCTTTCATCGAAAGAAGGCACATCGGCTGACTGGCTTCCCAAAGGCTTTCACCAGCCTGCGTCATTTCACTTCCCCGATTCCAGCGAAAAATAAGGTTATTGTTTATATTTTTAGAATTTTTAATATATTTGTGCATTGAAGTTTCTGTAGCAATTTGGTTAAGTTTTGGGGGGTGGAGTGGCTAGCACCACGCCCCAACCCTCCCTCTTTATCCGGGCTTGGGCCCTGCTAGAAAACTAGTGAGCTAGTAATCTAGGAACCCAAGGGAACAATAATAATAACAGTAATATAATCACAACAAGACACTACTCGCACAACTTTACAACTTCCTTTAGAAAATTCCATTATTTTTCATCGCTGGACTTGATTGGTAGTAGTATTTTCCATATTT